AAAACTCAACGATTCTCGTCAGTTTCACATTCTAAAAATCACCGCATAATTTCTTTTAGTCTGTGTTTTTTCTACTTTTCTCACACACAGGTTATTTCCTTATAGAACCGTTTGAAAGGCGTGACTGGACAAAGGGTGTGTTCGGTACGGGGATTGTCCTGCAGCACTCTGAAACAACTTTCTCGTAAATCTGGACTAAGAAGACTAACTGTAAGTAGCTTTCTTGATATCTATCTATCTATTAAAATGTCTTCAATGATTTTACTCAGGCAAATATTACTGAACATTTTTGCACATGTAAAGTTACACTTGTAGCCTACATCAAGGAGCTGAGCATGTTGCAGTTGGTCCCTGCAGAGTTAAATACAGTTCTGTCAAGACTTGTTTTTATATTTGGTATCTTGCTGTAGATATCCTAAATAAACTGTTGCACAATACATCAGCCCTCAAATCCCATAATATCCGACGGGGAAGTTATCCAAAGCCACATTCAGTTGTGGGTTATATAGAAAATGAACTTCCAATAATTTAGTTTAATAGAGCCGTGTGTGTCTAACTCTGGTAAAAGTACCTATTATGGCAAGCTTAAGGGTGTCAAAAACAAACAAATTAGCAACCCAAGCAGCCTTTCAACAAAATGAAATCTGGGAGTGAAATCAAGCCCAGTTTAACTGTGTAAAAGTTCATGTGCCAGTGAGAGTTACTGAATGATATTCTTAGAGACCAGGAAGCAATGCACCAGATTTTTAACTAACGTAAGTTATGTCCTGTGGGTTTCATGAAAAATGTATGACATACAAAAAGACAAAAAAATACAACTTTCCTCTACCTTTCTTTTATTTTGGCATTTAGTCTTTCTTGAGATTTTCCTTTTCATTTAGCTCTTGTTTGGATTATTTTCCCAACTGAATGTTAAAGAAGAGTAAATGGCTCATAATGTTGAAGTCATGAAAATACTTAGAACTTTTTGAATGTTGATCACCTGGTGCAGAGCTAACATAGCAATTCAGAAAATCAAAATCACGCAAAGTGTCAAACATGGTGGCAATAGTTTGATAGTCTGATACTGTTTTTTTTCTTGTTTTTTTTTTTTACTTTAGACTCTGAACAGCTTGCTCCAATTATTGAAATTATGACTTCTGCTCTCTAACAGAAGATCCTTAAGCTTCAGTACACTCATCCAGCAGGACATGAATCACACCACATGCACCAGCAAGTTCACTCTTTACTGGCTCAAAAAGAGGAAGGTTTTGGTGTTGCTTATTTAAAGTCCGGACTTGTATTCACCTGCAACACTTTGTTGCAAACATACCAGTTCACGAAAGTAATGTGGCTATATTAAATTATAATGGAATTATGTATGGAATTACATTTTTTTTTTATTTCAGATGAAGGCAGTCTGCAGTGTGTTGCTCCTGCTCATTCTGATTCCCACCTGCTCTCATGGTGGCAACATCTTGGTCTTCCCTACTGAAGGAAGCCACTGGATAAACATGGAAATTTTTCTTAAAGCTCTACACTCCAGGGGACACAATGTAACTGTTGCACGAGCTAGCAAAACCTGGTACATCAAGGATAATCCCTTATATTACAACACTTTCATAGTTCCAGTAGAAAAGAGCTTGGTAGATGGAGATTTTTTGAAAAAAATATTTTCTGATCTTCTAAAACTTGAACGGGAGACTTTACCTCTCGTCAACTTTCTCCAAATAACAATAGGCGTGCTCGACAAAATTGCTGATGTTTCGAATTCTGTGAGCTCATTTGTTCCAGCTCTTCTAGATAATGTGGAGTTGATGAGGAAATTAGATGAGACCAAGTTTGACCTGGTTCTTACTGATCCAAACTGTGGTAATGGGGCAATTTTAGCCAAATACATGAATCTCCCTTTGGTTTATAACGTTCGCTGGTTAATGCCTGAAGAAGCTCATTTTGCCATTGCTCCTTCACCATTATCCTACATCCCTATGACAGGATCTGGCCACACTGATAAAATGACTTTTTTTCAGAGAGTTAAAAACATCATTTTGTATCTATTGACTCACATGCAAAGCATGTTTGCGTCTAAGTTTGTATACCAGCCACTTTGTGAAAAGTACCTTGGACCTGATTGTGACTTTGATCAGATACAGAGTGATGCAGACATCTGGCTCATGAGAACCGACTTTGTCTTTGATTACCCACGTCCCACAATGCCTAATGTTGTGTACATGGGAGGGTTCCATTGTAAGCCTCCAGAACCACTTCCTGATCACATGGAGGAGTTTGTGCAGAGTTCTGGAGAGCATGGAGTCATTATCATGTCCATCTCAACATTTGTTGTTGAACTTCCAGAGGACCTTGCAGATAGCATTGCAGCAGCATTTGCGAAGTTGCCACAAAAAGTCATCTGGAGTTTTAGAGGCCCCAAGCCATCTACTCTGGGTAACAACACTTTACTGGCTGAGTGGATGCCACAAAAAGACCTTTTAGGACATCCTAAGGTAAAGTTATTTGTGTCTCAAGGAGGAACAATGAGTCCAGGAGGCCTTGTGTCATGGTGTCCCAGTAGTGGGTATTCCTCTGGTTTTTGACCAATATGACAATCTGCTGCGCTTGCAAGAGAAAGGAGGAGCTAAAATTCTTACATGGAGGGCAGTGGACAAAGATGATGGCTTTCTGAAAGCTATGCAAGAAGTTTTGAATGAACCATCCTACAGGCAGAACATGCAGAGACTCTCCAGGCTGCACAAAGATCAGCCAATGAAGCCAATCGATACTGCCCTATTCTGGATAGAATACGTCATTAGGCACAAAGGTGCTGGACATCTGAAAGCTCAGTCCTACAGAATGCCCTGGTATGTTTACCACTCTGTAGACGTAGTCCTGTTCCTGATGGGTGCAGTGATGCTCACGCTTTTAGCTACAGTCATGTTTATCAGGTGTTTATGGAAATCTGTGTGTGGACATAAAGTAAAACTTGAATAATATTTGTGTCCTTTATGTGTAACAATATTGCCTGGGAATAAAAGCATGTTTATGGTATCAAAGCAATTTTTTTCTTAATTTAGAGGAATATTTTGAACTTTGTTATTCAAAGTAGGGTACTGCTTTATAAGATTTTATACAAATAAAAATATGTTTTTTGATTGACATAGGAAAACATTTTTAATCTGTCTCACTCTTGTGTTTGATAGCAGAATATTTTATGTTGCAGCGAAACAGCATTAAAGGACATTATCCTTTGAAATCATGTTGCATGTGGGTACGATATACCAAACATGACAATGCTACATTTACAAATTCTCTGATTAAATTATGTCGTTCAGTAACTTTGCTAATTCAGCTATTTTCTAAATTGAAATATTCTAATAAGGCTCTATATTGTCTTTGGATAATTGTTAAGCAGGTAGGAGCCATACTTTCCATTTTAAGTGACATTGAAAATAATCACAATGAACAAAAATAAAGGAATTACATCATCAGTCTGTAATTTTTCTAATGTGTTTCACTTTTAAACTGTATTACTAAAATAAATTACTTTTCTTTACAGATTTTATTTTACATTAAAAAAATAATCATAGAAACTAAACACCATGTCTTTGATTTAAATGTCTGAGGGCCTTTAATGTTAGTGATAATGTTGCACACACTTTATCGCACTGTAGTTGCAAGTGCACTCATTTTTACTCCTTTGCGTTTGGGTTGTCTTGTTCTGTATAGAAATACCAAGCAACTGGAAAAGCAGGTAATGCCATTTTGAAATGGTGATAAGAGACACATTGTTTTAACTGTACCTACATTTGTCCTGTCAATGAGCAAGTTTATTATGTTTGCTCTTTGCACACGTTATCATAATTTAGTAGCATTCACTGGGGTAAAGAGCATGAGCTCCTAACCTCTGCATTTTATGAAGATATACTTTTTGTGCTTATAACTGTAGACTGTAAGCTGTTTGTGGATCACGGAGGAAAACTGGGAATAAAAGAGGTCCTGTGGCATGAAGTCTGAATAGTGATCTTACCCTTGTCTTTAAATCAGTTTGGCAATCGGCAAAGAAGGACTTAAAAGTCTTCCATGTTTTGGACAAGGGTGACATTGTCCAAAAAGCTATGTAGTTCTTCAACAGACACTCCTGACAGGTGAACATGCGGATTCTCCAGAGTGCACAGAATTCATACACAATGAATTTTCTACTTTACACATTTTAGAAACTGGTAAAGGACAGGCCCAGAGTATAAATATTTTTTCTACCATGTGCAGGAGCATGAGAAACAGATTTGCCACACCAACCAAAGTGTGCTCTGAGGATTTAATGCATTCAATTTAGTATACAACAAAAAAGAAATGAGGTCTTGTGACTGCATTGGAGTAATTTAGAACAAAGACAAGGACACCCAGTCTCATAATTCAGCGGACTGCCCTGAAATGATGTCTGTACACAGTTAACGAAAGAGTCACAGCAGATATTATTATCAAAACAAAGCACGCCTTTGCTCTGGTGGGGGCATTGCTCCAAGATCAACTCTACTGGGTTTCCTTAATTGACTTTCTCCTAACTGGCATAGAAATCTGCCTTAGGATGGATTGTTATCAAATGGGTTAATTTGCACTGAATTTGGTTCAGACTTTTGCTACCGAAATCCTGAAATAGTTTATAGCATTCTGGCAAATCTAATTGCTGCACACAAATGTACATTTGTCAGTCACTTTTATTCTGTAATGGATGGAACCAACATTGACCTATTTAGATAGATTTTTTTATGCTTACATATTCCTTGATATATATATATATATATATATATATATATATATATATATATATATATATATATATATATATATATATATATATATATATATATATATATATATATATATATATATATATATATATATATATATATATATATATATATATATTTTTAATTTGCACACTCTTGCTGAATAAAAGCGTGTCCTATTTGTCACAATGCCAAACGCGGTCTCTAATTGCTGCATTCCTTTTTCTCAGTCACTAGGTGTCACTATGGAGAAAATATTTTCTCTCAACAGGAGGGTGTGTAAAATTACGTAACAACTTATAAAGTTTCCACTTCGCTATTTGCTTTCCTTTCGTTGCTTTTGCCCACTTCTTGTCATCATTCTTGAATTGAACAACGACTTTAAACAAGATTTCTCCCCAAAACTCAACGATTCTCGTCAGTTTCACATTCTAAAAATCACCGCATAATTTCTTTTAGTCGGTGTTTTTTCTACTTTTCTCACACACAGGTTATTTCCTTATAGAACCGTTTGAAAGGCGTGACTGGACAAAGGGTGTGTTCGGTACGGGGATTGTCCTGCAGCACTCTGAAACAACTTTCTCGTAAATCTGGACTAAGAAGACTAACTGTAAGTAGCTTTCTTGATATCTATCTATCTATTAAAATGTCTTCAATGATTTTACTCAGGCAAATATTACTGAACATTTTTGCACATGTAAAGTTACACTTGTAGCCTACATCAAGGAGCTGAGCATGTTGCAGTTTGGTCCCTGCAGAGTTAAATACAGTTCTGTCAAGACTTGTTTTTATATTTGGTATCTTGCTGTAGATATCCTAAATAAACTGTTGCACAATACATCAGCCCTCAAATCCCATAATATCCGACGGGGAAGTTATCCAAAGCCACATTCAGTTGTGGGTTATATAGAAAATGAACTTCCAATAATTTAGTTTAATAGAGCCGTGTGTGTCTAACTCTGGTAAAAGTACCTATTATGGCAAGCTTAAGGGTGTCAAAAACAAACAAATTAGCAACCCAAGCAGCCTTTCACCAAAATGAAATCTGGGAGTGAAATCAAGCCCAGTTTAACTGTGTAAAAGTTCATGTGCCAGTGAGAGTTACTGAATGATATTCTTAGAGACCAGGAAGCAATGCACCAGATTTTTAACTAACGTAAGTTATGTCCTGTGGGTTTCATGAAAAATTTATGACATACAAAAAGACAAGAAAATACAACTTTCCTCTACCTTTCTTTTATTTTGGCATTTAGTCTTTCTTGAGATTTTTCCTTTTCATTTAGGTCTTATTTGGATTATTTCCCCAACTGAATGTTAAAGAAGAGTAAATGGCTCATAATGTTGAAGTCATGAAAATACTTAGAACTTTTTGAATGTTGATCACCTGGTGCAGAGCTAACATAGCAATTCAGAAAATCAAAATCACACAAAGTGTCAAACATGGTGGCAATAGTTTGATAGTCTGATACTGTTTTTTTTTTCTTGTTTTTTTTTTTACTTTAGACTCTGAACAGCTTGCTCCAATTATTGAAATTATGACTTCTGCTCTCTAACAGAAGATCCTTAAGCTTCAGTACACTCATCCAGCAGGACATGAATCACACCACATGCACCAGCAAGTTCACTCTTTACTGGCTCAAAAAGAGGAAGGTTTTGGTGTTGCTTATTTAAAGTCCGGACTTGTATTCACCTGCAACACTTTGTTGCAAACATACCAGTTCACAAAAGTAATGTGGCTAAATTAAATTATAATGGAATTATGGAATTACATTTTTTTTATTTCAGATGAAGGCAGTCTGCAGTGTGTTGCTCCTGCTCATTCTGATTCCCACCTGCTCTCATGGTGGCAACATCTTGGTCTTCCCTACTGAAGGAAGCCACTGGATAAACATGGAAATTCTTCTTAAAGCTCTACACTCCAGGGGACACAATGTAACTGTTGCACGAGCTAGCAAAACCTGGTACATCAAGGATAATCCCTCATATTACAAGACTTTCGTAGTTCCAGTAGAAAAGAGCTTGGTAGATGGAGATTTTTTGAAAAAAATTTTTTCTGAGTTTTTAAAACTTGAACGGGGGTCTTTACCTCTCGTCAGCTTTCTCAGAATGACAATAGGCCTGCTCGACAAAATTGTTAATGTTCATAATTCTGTGAGCTCATTTGTCCCAGCTCTTCTAGATAATGTGGAGTTGATGAGGACTTTAAATGAGACCAAGTTTGACCTGGTTCTTACTGATCCATGCTGGGGTAATGGGGCAATATTGGCCAAATACATGAATCTCCCTTTGGTTTATAACGTTCGCTGGTTAATGCCTGAAGAAGCTCATTTTGCCATTGCTCCTTCACCATTATCCTACATCCCTATGACAGGATCTGGCCTCACTGATAAAATGACTTTTTTTCAGAGAGTTAAAAACATCATTTTGTATCTATTGACTGACATTCAAAGCATGTTTGCGTCTAAGTTTGTATACCAGCCACTTTGTGAAAAGTACCTTGGACCTGATTGTGACTTTGATCAGATACAGAGTGATGCAGACATCTGGCTCATGAGAACCGATTTTGTCTTTGATTACCCACGTCCCACAATGCCTAATGTTGTGTACATGGGAGGGTTCCATTGTAAGCCTCCAGAACCACTTCCTGATCACATGGAGGAGTTTGTGCAGAGTTCTGGAGAGCATGGAGTCATTATCATGTCCCTCTCATCTTTTATTAATGAACTTCCAGAGGACCTTGCAGATAGCATTGCAGCAGCATTTGCAAAGTTGCCACAAAAAATCATCTGGAGCTACAGAGGACCCAAACCATCTACTCTGGGTAACAACACTTTGCAAGTTGACTGGATGCCACAAAAAGACCTTTTAGGACATCCTCAGGTAAAGTTATTTGTGTCTCAAGGAGGAACAAATGGAGTCCAGGAGGCCTTGTGTCATGGTGTCCCAGTAGTGGGTTTTCCTCTGGTTTTTGACCAATATGACAATCTGCTGCGCTTGCAAGAGAAAGGAGGAGCTAAAATTCTTACACTGGGAACAGTGGACAAAGATGACAACTTCCTGAAAGCTATGCAAGAAGTTCTGAATGAACCATCCTACAGACAGAACATGCAGAGACTCTCCAGGCTGCACAGAGATCAGCCAATAAAGCCAATTGATACTGCCCTATTCTGGATAGAATACGTCATTAGGCACAAAGGTGCTGGACATCTGAAAGCTCAGTCCTACAGAATGCCCTGGTATGTTTACCACTCTGTAGACGTAGTCCTGTTCCTGACAGGAGCAGTGATGCTCACGCTTTTAGCTACAGTCATGTTTATCAGGTGTTTATGGAAATCTGTGTGCAGACGTAAAGTTAAACTTGAATAATATTTGTATCCTTTATGTGTAACAATATTGCCTGGGAATAAAAGCATGTTCATTGATCAAAGCAATTGCTTTCATAATTTAAAGGTATATTCTGAACTTTGTTTTTGGAATCAAATTTCTGTTTCAGAAGATTTTTATACAAATAAATAGATGTTTATCTTTTAATTGAGATAGTAAATTAATAAATTATTTTAAACATATTTAGTCTGTCCTACTCTTGTGTTTGATAGCAGAATATTATAAATTGCAGGAGGAGAGAATTGAAAAATGTCCTCCTTATAAATCAGAAGTTGTATCTTGTAATGTCATACAAAACTTCACAATGTCCTATTTATAAACTCTCAGATTAAATTATTTAAATCACTTTGCTGACTCAATTTTTAGGATATTGTGATCAGGCACTTTTGTCAGACTGAAAGAACCAGTTGGAATAATAATTGTTAGGCAGGTTGTAATCATACTTCCTGCTATAAGTGTTATGTTTTCATTAGCTGTCATTGAAAATAATCACAATGAAGAAAAATAAAGACAATGCAACTTCAATCTGTGTAATTTTTCTAATTTTTTCACTATAGAGTTGCAGAAATAAATTTCTGTTCAATAAGTTTGTGTCCTTATTTTGCATTCATTTTTTTAAAAATAAATATAGAAACAGAACACCGTGTCTTTAAAAAAAAAAACGTCTGAGGATCTTTAGCGTTAGTGATAATGTTGCACTCATAACTTAGCAGTGGAAATTACCAATACCATGTTAATTCTACATATAATTACCACGTTATTGGAGAAGCTGTTAATATGTTGAAATGGTGAAAATAGACACTTTTAATAAACTGCACCTACATTTGCTCTGTTAATGAATGAGCTTATTATCTATGTTCCTTGCACACGTTATCAAAATGTATTAGCATTCACTGGGGTAAAGAGCATGAGCTCTTCACCTCTGCATTCTATGAAGATAGACTCTGTGCTTGTCTATCTCTAGACTGAAATCCAGGATGAACTTAATATTTGTGGTTTGGACAAGTATTATGCCATGCACATTAAGTTAATAGCAGTAAAGAAAATGATAAGATTCGTTACTGTATTGCCACACATTTGGAGCTACAGATGCACCAAATTGTTTACTCTACATAATGTTCTGTTCGTGCTTGATAAGAACCAGACGTTGTGCTTCTTCTTAGATGCTTTTATTAAAGTCGCTCTGGCTCGTTTGCTCATACAAGTTGCACACAGGTGTCTCACTAATGACTGACTGCTTCTGTTGTCCTATTCTTGACATTTATGCAATCACCTATGTTCGCGACTGCCATCTAGTGGACATAAACAATTCATTCAATCATCACATCCTCCTTTCTTTAAAGTTAGAATGTTACATGAATACTCTCTAAAATTAAACAACCATTGTATGAGACAGATAGCACATAATATCACATAGCTATAATAAAATTCACTTAACCTATCTTACTTAGTACTCATTAAAAACATGAATTACAAACTACATACATTTCAACTTTTTTTCTGTTTTTCTCTTTTTTTCCCTTTTTTTTTTTTTTTTTTTTTTTTTTTTTTTTTTACATCATCAGTCTATCAGGTTTCTTTACCACTCTGGTAGATCTTCTTAACACAGGTGGTGTATTGTCCTTAATACTGTCCATGTCACAATGCGTTTCGGTTGTCGGAGTAATCTGAGAGTCCTTAGAATCTTCACTCGACTCATCAACATGTTCAAATGGAGTTTTTTCAACAAACTGCGACGATTTCGTCTCAGAATTTGTCCATCTTCAGTTTTCACTTCAAATGAACGTGGAGCTACTTCCTGCAGAATAGTTGCTTTCGTTTTCCATCCCTCATCATCCTGAATCCTTACTGGGTCCTGGTATGACAGTGGGGGTAGAAGCTTTGCTGATCTGTCATAATATGACTTTTGTTTTACTTTCTGCTTTCGTAACTTGTACTCCAACTTTGACGATTTCTTTGCTCTTTGTCCTTTATTGTCATAACTTGGCAAAGTTGTACGAATCTTTCGATTCATCAAAAGTTCAGCAGGTGAATAACCACATTGCAATGGTGATGATCTATAGCTTAATAAAGCTAAATACGGGTCAGAGTTACTATCTGCAGCTTTCTTCAGAAGTTGCTTAAGAATATGAACTCCTTTCTCCGCTTTTCCATTTGATTGTGCATAATGTGGACTTGATGTTACATGCTTAAAATCATATTGTTCTGCAAACCTTTGCCATTCTCTGCTATTAAAACATGGTCCATTATCACTCACTACAACATGTGGAATGCCATGCCTTGCAAAGATTGATTTAGCATGTGTTATGATACAATTTGATGACATATTAGCCAACAGAGCCATCTCAGGATAGTTTGAATAGTAATCAATGATCACTAAATAGTCTTTTCCTTTAAGATGAAATAAATCCATTCCAACTTTTAGCCATGGTGATGTTGGAGTGTCAGATATTATCATCGGTTCTTTGCTCTGTTTGTTTCTAAATGTCTGACATGTTTCACATTTACTTATCAGCACCTCAATGTCCTTATTTAGTCCAGGCCAGAAAACAGATTCTCTAGCTCTTCTTTTACATTTCTCAATGCCAAGGTGACCCTCATGAATCCGCTGTAGAATTTCCTGTCTTAACTCTTGTGGAATCACTATTCTGTTGTTTTTCAGTAACAGTCCATTCACAACACTTAGATCAGCTTTAACATTGAAAAACTGTGAACATGAGCCTATTGGCCATCCTTCATCCATATTCTGTATGACCAACTGTAACTCTGTATCCTTAGCTGTTGCATCAACTATTGCTGTAACTTTCTATCTGATACAGGCAACACATTGGACACCAAATTCACATGACATTGAATATCCTCTTCAGTTGAACTCACACTATCATGTGCAGGGTCTCTAGACAGAGCATCAGCAAGAATCAGATGTTTTCCTGGAGTGTAGATGAGTGTAAATTCATACCTCTGCATCTTCATCATAAGCCTCTGAATCCTGGGTGACATCTCATTCAGATGTTTTTTAATGATGGCAACCAATGGTCGGTGATCTGTTTCAACTACAAAAGATGGTAAACCATATACATAGTTATGAAACCGTTTTAGCCCATAAGCCAGCCCCAAGCATTCTTTTTCTATCTGAGCATATCTGCATTCAGCTTTTGTCATGGCTCTGGATGCATAAGCTACTGGCTTCCATTGGTCATTCTCAGCTTGAAGAAGAACTGCTCCAAGTCCATCTTTTGAGGCATCTGTCGACAGTTTTAATTTTTTAGTAGGGTCATAGAAGGTAAGCACTGGTTCTGAAGTCAGATATTTTTTCAGTTCCTTCCACTCTTGTTCATGAACTTCTGTCCACTGGAATTGACTGTCTTGTACAAGAGTCTGCGAATGTTAGTCATCCTTGCACTCAAATTGGGAATGAATTTTCCTATAAAATTAATCATGCCCATGATGCGCAGAACACCCGTTTTGTCAGCAGGCGGTGGCATCTTTAAAATGGCTTGTATTTTATCTTCATCTGGTTGAACACCTCGGCCAGATAGTTTGTCTCCCAGAAACATAATTTCTTTGACACAAAACTCACATTTTTTTATTATTGAGCTTCAGTCCATTTTTCCGTATGCGCTCCATGACGCGTCTCAATCTGTCATTGTGTTCTTGAACAGTTGATCCCCAAATGATGATGCATCAATGTAGACTCTTACTCCATTCAAGCCTTCTATGATCCTCTCCATTGCTCTATGAAATATTTCTGGTGCAGATTTTATTCCAAAAGGAAGTCTTAGAAAACAGTATCTTCCAAAAGGTGTGTTAAAAGTACAATACTTGGTACTGCTTTCATCCAACTTTACTTGCCAGAATCCTTGTGATGCATCCAACTTGGTGAAATAACTTGCTCCGGACATTTCACTGATTATTTCCTCTCGAGTGGGTATTTGATAATGTTCTCTTCTGATGTTCTCATTTAGATCTTTTGGATCCATGCATATTCTTAATTCTCCATTTTTCTTCTTTGTAATCACGATGGAATTAACCCAATCTGTGGGCTCTTCCACTTTCTGAATGACTCCCAACCTGATCATTCGATCCAACTCATTTTTCAACCCCTCTCGCAGTGGCGCTGGAATGCGACGTGCAGCATGAACAACAGGCTGCGCGCCCTCTCTTAACTGAATCTTATATGTGCAGGGTACAGAACCTAATCCTCGAAAGACATCCTCATAATCCCGAAGCATTGCATCAATCGGGTTATTAGATTCATTAATTCAGTGTTTATGTGGTAGACTCTTTTCACCAGTCCAAGTTCTTCACAAGATTTATCACCTAAAAGTGATTCTCGATCCTCTTTTACAACAGAAAGAACACAAGATGTTTTGTTCCTTTAACTGTTACATTCAACTGACATGTTCCAATACACTCAATTGATTGTCCATTATAGTCTTTAGACCTGACTTGACTTCTTTTATGTGAGGTTTTACTTGCATTTCTTTTATATCAGATATGCTTATGAGATTCGCCTTCGCACCTGTGTCCAATCTGAACTTAATTGTGGTTCCATTTACTAACAAAGGAATTGTCCATTTATCATCTCTGTCAACACATTGCACTTTTTCACAATTCACAACACCGACAAAGAATGTGTCACTTAGATCAGTTTCATCTACTAAGTTTACACAATTCCTCTTCTTTTCTTCTTTCCTCTTCTTAAAGCATTGCTTTGCAAAATGATTCTGTCCACGGCAATTTAAACACTGCTTACCATAAGCAGGACATTGTCTCACTTTATGCCTTGATCCACAGCGCTTACAGTTGATAATGGCTTCCTCTTGCAGCTTCCTGGTTTGTGCATGTCGTTTCTTGTGGCAGGACACCGCTCCCACTGCCGCTGCTCCATCACTGAACTGTGAAGTAGTTCCTGTTGAAAGTTCAGAAAATGTCCTCACTTGCTGCATTGACAGTTCGCTTGCCCGACACATCTTTACAGCTGTTTCCAGGGTCAGCTCCAGTTCTCTCAGCAGTCTCTCTCTGAGCTTCCCGTCACGTACAGCAAAGACGATCTGATCTCTGATCATCGAGTCCTTCAGCAGGCCAAAATTGCATGACTGCGCTTTTACTTTCAGATCGGTCAGAAAGTTATCGAAGGGTTCATGCTGAGTCTGCATCCGGGAACGAAACACGTATCTCTCGTAGCATTCATTCTTCTTCGGTGAACAGTGAGCATCAAATTTACTCAGCACAACGTCCAACTTTTCTTTGTCTTCAGGTTCATCAAACACAAATGTGTTGTAGACTTCCAAAGCCTGCGCTCCCGCTATGGTCAGCAACATCGCTACCTTTCTTGGCTCCGGCTTCGTCTCCAAACCCATTGCGGCGACATACAGTTGAAAGCGTTGTTTGAAAGCACGCCAGTTTTCATCCACGTTTCCCGTCAGCTTTAAGCTCTCCGGTGGTTTCAGCTCCATGGTCGGCTTTTCAATTCACTCCTTCAGTTTTACTCCTGACACCATGTTCTGTTCGTGCTTGATAAG